GCCCCCCTCCACTCCCACCATTTATATATTATTATGTATCACTGATTTGTATTCTCTCGGGTGGATGTGTCGCTGTTATTGCTGCACACTGTGAAGAACATTGAAGCTTTGAATGTGTGATGTGGAGTGCGGCCCGTATTTTGGGTGTTCATGGTGGTGTTCGGACAGCGCCGCGATCCCGTCATCTCTCACCGTCCCTCTGCTTCCTTCTCACAGTTGCACGGGAGTTTGGCTCCACCCAGAGCGAGCTTTCCTCGGCTCCACCCACTCAGGCATCCAGCACGGTACACATTCTGTCCCTCCTCCTCCGGCTGCGTCAATGCTGCTGCCACCTGTCGCTGCTGAAGACGGTAAGCGTTCCCCGCACATTAGAATGCAGATTTGCAGATCGTTTATTTTGTGTATTTAGCTCTTGTGGCAGAGATTTGTTTTCGGGTATAACTAGGGACTCACCGATACCCATACTAGTATTGGTGCCGATACTGAGTATTTGGGAGAGTACTCGTACTCACCCAAATGCTCCGATGCCTAGCCCGATACTTCCTGTATCAGGACGCCGGGCAACACGTCATTACACGCTGCCCGGCTTCCTGATTGGCCCAGGAAGCCGCTCCATGCTCTCTCGTCACTTGTGCTGAGAGAGCATGGAGCCGACTTCCCAGCCAAACCAAGTTGCGTGTAATGACGCGCTGCCCGGCTTCCTGGTTGTTCGGGAAGCTGGCCAGCGCCCGGCATTCTAAATGGCCAGGAAGCCGGCTTCAGGCTCCCTCGTCATCTCATGACGAGAGAGCCTGGAGCCGGCCAATCGGAAAGCAGGGCGCCTCGTCATTACACGGCGACCGACTTCCATGATTGGCCAGCAAGCCGGGTCCATAGTGACGAGAAACATGGGACGGCTCTCTTGTTAATCGGGAAGCCGGGTGGCGAGTCTTTACACGCCACCTGGCTTCCTGAATGGGACTTCCGGTACTCGGTAATTGGTATCGGCGAGTACCGGGGAAAAAAAATATCCGTACTCGGTACCAAAATACCGGTATCGGTGCGTCCCTAGGTATAATATCAGCAACGGGTAATGGCTGTTCTAGGGGGAACGGAGGACGGCTGCATTAACCCTTTGATTGCCACCAATGTAGTCCCTATGTCAGCGGCTCCCCACTGCTATAGAAGTCGGAGTTTGTTCGCTTCTGACAATCGGCTGTCCGCTTTCTAGTCGAAGTTGTTCAGGCCGCTGTAAACCTGGAGCCGCTCATCACTTCCGTGTCCAGTGCTGTCAATCTCTGGCTGGGGAGAAGCTAATCGAGCGCCATCTTTGCTCAGTGAGCTTCAATAGAGTCCCTGGGGGTGAGTTGGGGGTCTAGTAGACCCCTGATGTCTCTATAGAGAGAACTTTAGGAAAAATCATCCCTGGAAACATCTAACGCCAGCCGCTGCCGCCATGCCAACCAGGATGCTGTTTGCGCCTTGTGGTTACGTGGGTGGAAATCTGCCTCCTCTTCTCTAGAGTCCAGTGGCGGCGCGCTTTACACCGCGGCATCCCACGCTTTGCATTGCACTTGGTGATGTGCGGCTTGGATGCAGCTGCTCGGCCGTGGAAACCCATTCCATGGAGCTCTCTACGCACTGTTGTTGCGCCAATCTGACGGCCGCATGGAGTTTGGAGGTCTGTAGCTATCGACTCTGCAGACAGTTGGCGACTTCTGCGCACTGAGCGCTTCAGCATGCGCTGACCCCGCTCTGTCATGTGACGTGGCCGACCACTTCCTGGCTGAGTTGCTGTTGTTCCCGGTCGCTTCCACTTTGTTATAATCCCAGTAACAGGCGACCGCGGCGGAATATATAGTAGCCGGGAACTGTCACGGGCGGACTTATTGCGCAGGTGACAACTAGGGATGCACCGATACCACTTTTTTGGGTCTGAGTACGAGTACCGATGCTTTTTTTTTTTAGTACTCGCCGATACCAATTACCGATATTTTTTCTTTTAAGCCCGTGGACGTGCATCAAACTTCCCCCTGTGAACAAAAAAAGTGAACCGTGAAAATTCGCCCGTGGAGAAGGAGTTCGCGGCCATCTTGCATGAATGCAGACGCGGTCCTGTGTGCGGCGGTGGAAGATGGCGGACACAGGTACTCGTTTTAGACAACAGAGCATTTGCACGAGTACGAGTACCCATGCAAATACTCGGTATCGCGGCCGATACCAATGCTTGTATCGGTATCGGTGCATCCCTAGTGACAACCTATCACGGCACCACACTTGTAGTCACCGAGCTCCTGAGAGCGACCCGTTCTCTCACCAATGTCTGTAGAAGCGTCTGCACGCCGAGGTGCCTCGTCCTATACACCAGGGGACATGGAGGGAGTTGGAGGACCTGAGTCACATGATTTGGAGGGGGAGGGGCCAATACTTTTGGTAATATAGTGTATATTGGAATCGGATCTTTGTTGTACGTCGTCTCTGTGACCCGATCTCTCCCGCAGACTCTGGACCAGACGGAGCTGAAGAGCGAAGGGCTGAACCTGACCCTGGAGGAGCAACTCAACGCCCTGTCCTTGTGTGACCTCCAGACCCCCGACACAAAGTCTACCGTCTCAATGAATGGCACCAACTTCAACGCCGAGCTATTCGAGAGCGACAGCCAAAGCACAAAGGTGGCGAGAATGAAATGTGCGACGTGTGAGAATCTCAATATAAAAAAGGGCTCCAGAGCCAGAAATAATGTGAAGTGCGTTTAATCCTCATTACTCAGCAAACGGGAATCCACGTGCTGCAGTTTAAGGGATCGTTGGCAAATATTGTGGTAGAGTAACGCATTGCAAAATGCATGCGTTACCGCTAGAGAAGCCGGTCCGCTGCCAGCATCTCTGCAGACGTCAGACCTATATCTCTGCAATCAGCAAAGCTCATGGTTCCTGTTGATCAGAGGTGCCCAGCACTGACCCAGCAGGGGGCATCAACTCAGCAGAGAGGCCGCTGCTTCCACACATAGGCTCCCTCTCTGTAGCATGCTGGCAGGTGACGGGCTTCTCTACCCTGTGGCTGCTTTAGCAGGAGAACGTTCGGTGGGGCTTTGCACATCTTTATTTTGATGCTCCTGGAATGGATTTAGCTGAAAGTTCAGTCGGGCTTTAAATGCGGAACTTCCAGCAATAGAATAATCGGCAGCTAGAGCGGGAGACTCCGGAGAAATCCCAAACCCCTGACACCACTGATCACACGTCACATACAGATGGGGCTTCTGTGGTCAGATATAGGTCAGGAATGACACGCGTGTGTATGTCGGCAAGAGGCCGGTGTATGCTGATAAGAACTGTGTCCGGGGCAGCTTTGCCATCTAGGACAGTGGTTCTCAATCACCCGGCCTCCTTCCTGCCCCCACAGTACCCCCAGCCTGCTGCAGATCCTCCAGCCCTCCATAGTTCCCCCACAACCTCCCAAAGTGCCCCCAGCCTGCTGCAGATCCTCCAGCCCTCCATAGTCCCCCCCAACCTCCCAAAGTGCCCCCAGCCTGCTGCAGATCCTCCAGCCCTCCATAGTTCCCCCACAACCTCCCAAAGTGCCCCCAGCCTGCTGCAGATCCTCCAGCCCTCCATAGTTCCCCCACAACCTCCCAAAGTGCCCCCAGCCTGCTGCAGATCCTCCAGCCCTCCATAGTTCCCCCACAACCTCCCAAAGTGCCCCCAGCCTGCTGCAGATCCTCCAGCCCTCCATAGTTCCCCCACAACCTCCCAAAGTGCCCCCAGCCTGCTGCAGATCCTCCAGCCCTCCATAGTTCCCCCACAACCTCCCAAAGTGCCCCCAGCCTGCTGCAGATCCTCCAGCCCTCCATAGTTCCCCCACAACCTCCCAAAGTGCCCCCAGCCTGCTGCAGATCCTCCAGCCCTCCATAGTTCCCCCACAACCTCCCAAAGTGCCCCCAGCCTGCTGCAGATCCTCCAGCCCTCCATAGTTCCCCCACAACCTCCCAAAGTGCCCCCAGCCTGCTGCAGATCCTCCAGCCCTCCATAGTTCCCCCACAACCTCCCAAAGTGCCCCCAGCCTGCTGCAGATCCTCCAGCCCTCCATAGTTCCCCCACAACCTCCCAAAGTGCCCCCAGCCTGCTGCAGATCCTCCAGCCCTCCATAGTTCCCCCACAACCTCCCAAAGTGCCCCCAGCCTGCTGCAGATCCTCCAGCCCTCCATAGTTCCCCCACAACCTCCCAAAGTGCCCCCAGCCTGCTGCAGATCCTCCAGCCCTCCATAGTTCCCCCACAACCTCCCAAAGTGCCCCCAGCCTGCTGCAGATCCTCCAGCCCTCCATAGTTCCCCCACAACCTCCCAAAGTGCCCCCAGCCTGCTGCAGATCCTCCAGCCCTCCATAGTTCCCCCACAACCTCCCAAAGTGCCCCCAGCCTGCTGCAGATCCTCCAGCCCTCCATAGTTCCCCCACAACCTCCCAAAGTGCCCCCAGCCTGCTGCAGATCCTCCAGCCCTCCATAGTTCCCCCACAACCTCCCAAAGTGCCCCCAGCCTGCTGCAGATCCTCCAGCCCTCCATAGTTCCCCCACAACCTCCCAAAGTGCCCCCAGCCTGCTGCAGATCCTCCAGCCCTCCATAGTTCCCCCACAACCTCCCAAAGTGCCCCCAGCCTGCTGCAGATCCTCCAGCCCTCCATAGTTCCCCCACAACCTCCCAAAGTGCCCCCAGCCTGCTGCAGATCCTCCAGCCCTCCATAGTTCCTCCCAAAGTGCCCCCAGCCTGCTGCAGATCCTCCAGCCCTCCATAGTTCCCCCCCAAGCTCCCACAGTGTCTCACAGCCTGCTGAAATGCCTCCAGCCTCCCAAAGTGCCCCCAGACTACTGCAGAGTGTCCAGCCCTCCATCGTCTCCCAACCTCCCATAATGCCTCTAGTCTTCTACAGTGCCACCCAGTCCCTTGCAGTGCCCCCCAACCTCCCACAGTGCCACCCAGTCCCTTGCAGTGCCCCCCAACCTCCCACAGTGCCACCCAGTCCCTTGCAGTGCCCCCCTGCCTGCTGCAG